CAAGAGGGATCCGTTCGTAATTTTACTCCACACGCATGGAGCTGTCCATAATAAAAATATAATAATAAGAGCAGTAAATGAATTAATTGACACTTGATTAACCGCCTAATTTTGTCCTTAATCCCTATAAATACCTGCCATTTCATCTCATCTTCATCTTTCTTCATAACACCACCTCTTCTACCCTATGAAAGCAGGGTTGGCATTTTAAGTAGTGCCTTGAAACCACCTATTTCCTTAGACATTTTCAAGATTTTCGTCTATAATTCAAATAAAAAACCAATTCAGTAGCCAGAAGAAGTAGAAATCTCACCTTTTTTTTTTTTGTTCTTCTCTGAAAAGTTTTCTGAGTTTGATTGTTCTTATGGACGCTGGGGATCTTTACAAAGCGGGTAGTAGCTTCCGAGCTGGCAGTTCCTCAATATGGAGGGACAGCGGCATGGAAGTGTTTTCAAGGTCTTCCAGAGATGAAGACGACGAGGAGGCTCTCAAGTGGGCTGCTCTTGAGAGATTGCCCACCTATACACGGTTGAGGAAAGGTATACTCACCACCTCTCACGGCGGCGCTAATGAAATTGAGGTCGAAAAACTTGGGTGGAAAGAAAGGAAGATTTTGATTGAGAGGTTGATGAAGGAAGAGGATAACGAACAGTTCTTGTTGAAGTTCAAGGAACGGATGGATAGGTACCAACTGTACTCTATTTTTGGATCCTCACATTTCCTGTTTGGTTACTAAGATACTATAGAAATTCAGGGGAGGAACTCTGTTTTCACATAAAAATGAGAAAAAAAAAAAACAAAAAGAACAGAGGAAATCTGTTTTGGTTTTTTGAAGTATATTTTTATCCAATGATTTTCTCTAGGGTCGGAATTGAAATTCCCACAATTGAAGTACGATTCAAGCATCTAAAAGTTGAAGGAGAAGCTTATGTGGGAAGCAGGGCTTTGCCAACCTTCATCAACTCTGTTTGGAACATGCTTGAGGTATAAGAAATCTGAAAAATAAAAATCGTTATTTGTATTCCAAAATGCTTTTTTCCCTAATTGTTTTCGCCTTTTCATTTCGATCTGAAGGGATTCTTAAGTGCTCTTCATCTTATTTCGAGTAGAAAGAAACACCTGACCATTCTCAACGATGTCAGTGGAATTGTCAAACCAGGGAGGTAATAAAGCAATTAATTTCAATTCCTGGTTTTGAAGTTAAGTATTTAACCATTCAAAGTTAAATGGTATTGTTTCATTTGTCGTAGGTTGACTTTGCTTTTGGGTCCCCCAAGTTCTGGAAAAACCACTCTCCTGTTGGCTTTGGCGGGGAGGCTTGATCCTGATCTGAAGGTGAGAACTGTGGCAAAAGCAGTCTTTTCATTGTTCCCTTTCAGGTTTTATGGTTTAGCATCCGGATTTGTTCTCATAAGGGAAAGTTTTCCTGTAGTGTTCCGGGAGTGTAACCTACAATGGTCATGAACTGCATGAGTTTGTGCCTCAGAGAACTGCTGCCTACATCAGTCAACATGATCTCCACATCGGGGAAATGACTGTAAGGGAAACTTTGGCTTTTTCTGCAAGATGCCAGGGCGTAGGATCGCGTTATGGTTAGTTTAATTCACACCCCACTCTCATTTTTGTGTTTTTCAAAATCATCTACGTGTGGTTTACTTTAAAGCATGGAAGTTTACTTGTTTTTGGTGTTTATAGATATGTTGGCCGAGTTGTCAAGAAGAGAGAAAGCAGCAAACATTAAACCTGATCCTGATATTGATGTCTTCATGAAAGTAAGAACTGTAACTACTGGGTGAATAAGTGCCTCACTTGGATTCTTTTTTCCAAATGATTTGCTTATTTTACTTCATTTCTAACATTACAGGCGGTAGTAACAGAAGGTCAGGAAACCAATGTAATCACAGATTATATTCTAAAGGTAACAATAAGCAGAAAGCTCGCAAGATTTTTTCTGAAAGATTGTTAGAAAGCATGAAGAAACATAATGACATAGCTTTTGCCACATTTTACAGATTTTAGGACTGGAAGTGTGTGCAGATACAATGGTAGGAGATGAAATGATAAGAGGCATCTCTGGAGGACAGAAGAAACGTGTTACAACGGGTAATTAAATAACTCCTAGTGATCAACTTCTACTTCAGAAAGCCTAAATTTATCATTATCAATCTAATTGTGTCTGTGAAAAATAGGGGAGATGCTGGTTGGACCAGTAAATGCACTTTTTATGGATGAGATATCTACTGGTTTGGACAGTTCAACAACATTCCAAATTGTGAACTCGCTCAAGCAAACTGTTCACGTTCTTAATGGAACTGCAGTCATTTCTCTCCTTCAGCCAGCACCAGAGACTTATGATCTTTTCGATGACATTATCCTCATTTCCGATGGTCACATTGTATACCAGGGTTCCCGTGAACATGTTCTGCACTTTTTTGAATCCATGGGGTTCAAATGCCCTGAAAGAAAAGCTGTTGCAGACTTTTTGCAAGAAGTGAGTCTGAGTCTTGATAGGGCTTGCATTATTCATTTAATGGGAAAAACATGTCGATATTTTTTTACATTTAATTCAATTCAATTTATTGCTGCAGGTGACATCTAAGAAAGATCAAATCCAGTATTGGATTAGAAGAGATCAGCCTTATAGGTTTGTCACAGAGAAGGAATTTTCTGAGGCATTCCAATCGTTCCAAGAGGGACTGCGACTTGAAGATGAGCTTGCAACTCCATTTGACAAGACCAAGAGCCACCCAGCTGCTTTGGAAACAAAAAAATACGGTGTTAGCAACAAAGAGTTGTTGAAGGCAACATTTTCAAGAGAAGTCCTTCTTATGAAGAGAAACTCTTTTGTCTACGCCTTCAAGCTCTTCCAAGTGAGTATGATATCAATGGTCACATTATGTTTTTGTACTGAACTCATGTTTTGCACGATTATGACATGAATTTTATTCCCACTGCCAGCTCTTGTTCATGGCTTCCATTACTATGACAATCTTCCTAAGGACAAAGATGAGCAAAGATACATTATCCGGTGGATCACTTTACACGGCTGCCTTGTTCTTTGGCCTGATTTTGACCATGTTTAATGGAATGGCTGAGCTGTCTATGACCATTGTTAAGCTTCCTGTCTTTTATAAGCAAAGAGATATGCTATTCTACCCTTCATGGGTATATGCTCTACCAACATGGATACTAAAGATCCCTGTATCACTTCTTGAAGTTTCTGTTTATGTATTCATCACCTATTATATCATTGGATTTGATCCTAATGTTGGAAGGTAAAAGAAGAAAAAACTTGATCAAGGTCTTTTACCCATTTGTTGTCATACAACTAATGTTGAAATTATTTGCTTGATGCAGGTTGTTTAAGCAGTACATTCTTCTTGTGCTAGTTAGCCAGATGGCTTCCGCATTGTTCCGGTTAATTGGATCAATTGCCAGAAACGTCATTGTGGCTAATACGTTTGGATCATTTGCATTGCTAACACTATTTGCATTGGGTGGTTTTATCCTGTCCCGTGGTATGATAAGTCTTAGAAAATCTCTTATTATTATTATTATTATTATTATATATTTTTTTATTTTTATCAAGATTAAACTTCAGTGTATTCTACTAACTTTTATGTTCGATATCCCAGATGGTATTAAGAAATGGTGGATATGGGGTTACTGGGTTTCACCTCTGATGTATGGACAAAATGCTATCGTGGTGAATGAGTTCCTTGGAAAGAGTTGGAGACATGTAAACTGCTTTGGAATATCCATATTTACTGTTCTATTTTGTCTTTCAATAATCAGCTGATGTCTGTATTTTCTTTCTTGTAACAGGTTCTTCCAAACTCAACAGAGTCTCTTGGCATCCAAATTTTGAAATCCCGCGGGTTCTTCACTGAGGCATATTGGTATTGGATAGGATTTGGGGCGATGCTTGGCTTCATACTATTATTCAACAGTTGTTTTGCTGTGGCTCTTACCTTTCTCAATCGTGAGTGTCTTCGTCATCTTGTATTTTTGCCTCCTAGAAGTAAAAACTCATATTTACCATTCTACACAGCATTTGGAAAGTCGCGGAATGTTATACCAGATGAACCACAAGGCAATGAGCAAGCTGGGGAAACTAGTAGAGCTATCCAGTTATCAACCTATGGAAGTACCTCTACTCACAGAACTGAAACGGATGGAGATCAAATTAGAAGAGGCGCATCATCCAAGTCCTCATCTGTGTCAGAGACAGCTTTTGAGGCGATCCAAAATAAGAAAAGAGGAATGGTTCTACCATTTGAACCACATTCGATCACCTTTGATGAAATCACATATGCTGTTGACATGCCACAGGTAAACAAAAGTTTCACAAAAACTATGTAAATCCAGAATTTGGATTTTGTTATGATACTTGAGAGTATATTTGGTTGAATTGAACATTGCAGGAAATGAAAAAGCAGGGTACGGTTGAAGATAAATTAGTTCTATTGAAGGGTGTGAGTGGTGCATTTAGGCCTGGAGTTCTTACAGCTCTAATGGGTGTTAGTGGTGCTGGTAAAACTACTCTGATGGATGTGCTTGCAGGCAGGAAAACTGGTGGCTACATTGATGGCAACATAACAGTTTCAGGCTACCCGAAGAAGCAGGAAACATTTGCTCGGATATCTGGATACTGTGAGCAAAATGACATTCACACTCCTTATGTTACTGTCTATGAGTCCTTACTGTATTCAGCTTGGCTTCGTCTACCCTCTGAAGTTGATGCTGAAACTAGAAAGGTTGGCATCTGAAGCACCAATCTGTTGCTTTACAATGTTTCTTTTTTCCTTTTCTGCACCTAGTTAACCTTTCATTTAAACATAATGTTGCAGATGTTCATTGAGGAAGTGATGGAGCTCGTTGAACTGAATCCCTTAAGGAATGCACTGGTAGGATTACCAGGCTTGAATGGTTTGTCAACTGAGCAAAGAAAGAGGCTAACCATTGCAGTTGAGCTGGTGGCAAACCCTTCTATAATATTTATGGATGAGCCAACTTCAGGGCTAGATGCAAGAGCTGCTGCAATTGTTATGAGAACGGTCAGGAACACAGTGGACACTGGAAGAACAGTTGTTTGTACCATCCACCAACCTAGCATTGACATATTTGAAGCATTTGATGAGGTAAAAGATCTGAATGGAGCAAAAGGGCTGCCATTATTATTTATTGTTAATTCTCCACTGAATGACAAAACTTGCTTAACACTTCAATGCAGCTGTTTCTTTTGAAGAGGGGAGGACAGGAGATATATGTAGGGCCATTAGGTGGCCATTCTTCTCATCTTATCAAGTATTTTCAGGTATGAAGCACTGAACAGTCAAAGATTACAAAATTGGTACTCATTCAGAATTTATATTAGTGCTTTAATTTTCTTTTTAAATAGGGTATTGAAGGAGTTAGTAAAATCAAAGATGGCTATAATCCTGCAACTTGGATGCTAGAAGTCACTACAACAGCTCAAGAATTAGCTTTGGGTATTGATTTTGCTGAGGTCTACAAGAAATCAGATCTATACAGGTAAATTGTTGAACCCATTCAATTTGCTTTCAAATAGTTTCTCTTCTTTTTATTTATTTATTTATTTTTTTTGACCAGCAGTTTTCAAATGGTTTCTTGCTCAAATTAATAGTTATTGGTGGGATATATTTCAGGAGAAACAAAGAACTCATCAAAGATTTGAGCACGCCGTCTCCTGGTTCTAAAGAACTCTACTTTCCTACTAAGTACTCTCAGTCATTCTTGACCCAATGTTCTGCTTGCTTATGGAAGCAGCGCCAGTCATATTGGCGCAACCCTCCATACACAGCAGTGCGATTTTTCTTCACAGTCTTCATAGCGTTGATGTTTGGGACAATATTCTGGGACCTCGGCTCCAAAACGTAAGTTGCAACCCACAACATGATAGGAAACAGGACAAAAGCAAAAGCTCAAACTTTAGTAGTCTCTACTGTAATATATTGTCTAATATATCATGCATGGTACACAAACAGGAATAGGAGCCAAGATCTGTTAAACGCAATGGGATCAATGTATGTTGCTGTTCTCTTCCTTGGCTTCCAAAATATGACAGCCGTTCAGCCAGTTGTTGCTGTAGAAAGAACGGTCTTTTACAGAGAAAGAGCTGCTGGAATGTACTCAGAAATGCCATATGCCTTTGCACAGGTCGTAATTGAGTTCCCTTATGTTTTTGCTCAAGCGCTTGTCTATGGTGTCATAGTCTATGCAATGATTGGATTCGAATGGACTGCTGCCAAGTTCTTCTGGTACATATTCTTCATGTACTTCACATTGCTGTATTTCACCTTCTATGGGATGATGACTGTGGCTGTGTCACCAAACCACCACATCGCTGCTATAGTCGCCGCTGCCTTTTCTGCACTTTGGAACCTCTTTACGGGGTTCATAATTCCTCGTCCAGTAAGTAGTGCTACAACCTCCTCATCATTTTCCCAATTTCTAGAATTCTCCTGGCTTAATCCTTTGTTTCTCCTTGTTTTTCCACAACAGAGTATTCCTATATGGTGGAGATGGTACTATTGGATGTGTCCAGTTGCTTGGACCTTGTATGGACTGGTGGTATCACAATTTGGTGATCTGAAGAACCAGTTGGAATCCGGTGAAACAGTGGAAGAATATGTAAGGAACACTTTGGGCTTCAGACATGATTGGCTAGGCATAGTTGCAGCCGTAATCGTCGGCATCACAGTATTCTTTGCAGCTGTCTTTGCTATCTCCATAAAAATATTCAACTTCCAAAGGAGATAGAGCTTCCTTATGATTTTTTTTTTTCAGAGCAGAATGATCTACTTGTACTAATAGTAGAGTTTCATTAAATAATTATACTAGCTTTTGAATTTTAGTTATTTTTTAATGTAAAAATTAAGGATTAAATTCTAAATTTATGATTAAAATTACAAATAATTCAACCATTAGACTACATAACGGATGGCTTTTAATTTTAATTAGTAGCAATAGTCCACACCTCCCCCTCTTGATTAACATTTCAAAACATTAAAAAAATGTTGTACTAATATCAATTATAACTAATGATTAGATTAGCCCAAAGTCATAAGTATTGAGCAATGTTATTCTCACATCTTTAATTATTAATATTATATTTTTTATTTTAATTGATTATTATATTTTTTAATTTATTAAAAAACAAAAAAAAATGTAAATTTTAAAGAAAAAAATATCATATAAAGTTATAATAAGTAACTATATTAAAAAAAATGTAATATTAACTATTTAGTATGTGACAATAACTTTACATATTAGTATCATTTTCACTGTTATTTGGGCATTATTGATACCTAACTACAGTAGAATTATTAATCGTACTTAACTTCATACATTTAAGATGATTAAATTGTCAAAGAACCCAAAAATCAAAATGAAAAAGAAGATTAATTTTCGAAGGAAAGGAACAAGGAATGAAGTGAAGATGTTGACCTTTTGTTTTGTTTCTGGGTTCAGACTCTTCTGGTTAGGATATTGGGTAAGAGGCTTTCCAGCTTACCACATCTTATTGGGACCAAATTGGTATGGGGACTTACTCTCTAAAGAACCATGGACTTGGGTCCAGCCTTTCTGGCCCAAAGGTTCAAACCCATGTAGCACAGTAGCAGTGTGTCTGAGAACTACTAAAATTTATCAAAAAAGACTTTTACAATATTATAATTCTAATTTCTACGACCTACTCATGAAGCTGTATAAAAAAAAAAAAATAAATAAAAACAAAAAAAACCTGAAAATTAATAAAGCCTCATGTTTTGCAAAATGAACCAGGCTGTAAAAAAATAAAATAAAATAAACCAAGCTGCAAAACATTTTTTTAAAATTAATATATCCAAACTTCAATCTGAATTTCAATTAATAGTAGAGGTTTAATTAAAATTTCATATATTATGGTTGTGATTTTTAATTTTTAATTTTAATTTTTAAAATTAACAAATTAAAATTAAAATTAAAAATTAAAAATTAAAACTGACAATTTATTGGGTGTAAAGTTTTAAAACTAATATCTAAAACTTTAACTTAATTAACTTATAAAACTTCTTAATTTTATTCTCAAAATTTTAAATTTTAAAAATCAAAAACTCAAAATCACATCTATACTAAATAAAGTCAACTTAATAAGAATTACTTATTTCAACTTATATTTGAAAAAAATACTGAAATTGATATAAAAGCGATATTAATATTATATAATACTAAAAAAGATTTTCATATCTTTTGTCTTTGTTACATAAGTTAAAAATATATTAATTACATAATTTTTTTGTTAATTTTTATAAAAAATAAAAATTGACTTTAATTTTATTTGTTGTCTAATTAAAACCATACATGTATCATTATGGTTGAAAATGAAGTTAAATTTTATATTTTCTTATAGAATTTAATGAGAAAAAAGTACCATTTGTTGTTTCGTTTTCAAATACTAGATACTTTTTTTTTTTAGAATTTAATAATAGTAATTTTTTTCATAGTTTAAGAGAGGTAAATTTTTTTTTCTTACTTTAATTTTATTATTATTACTTAATTTTAATAATTCATTTTATTATAAAAAAAGTCTCTTTATTTGATTTTTTAAAAAATAAAAAAAAAGTATTTTTAAAATTTTAATACAAAAATAAAATAAAAAACATTTATTATTATAGAATTGAAGGAACAATATATTCTTATTATCTGTCCTTAAAAAAACCTTATTAAAAAATACAGTTGATGACGTATGATCTTATGTATTTGCCATTGCATTTTTTTTCAAAATGACCAATAAGGCATTTTCTTTATTTTGTTTGTAGCGTGAGCATCGTGAATACGACATTGATCAATATTTTGTGCATAAAATATAATTTTAAGGTACATCAGGCCAATTATAGGTCCATCAATGGCGACTGTGGGGGACCTTTTCCGCAATCCATAATTAAGCTAGCTTACCACAAAAGAAAAGGAGTTTAATTTATATATAAGTTTTATATGATATATTTATATAAAATTTTAATTATTTATTATTTTATTTTTAATAATTAAAATTTATTATAATTTTTTGGTAAAAAGATAATTGTTTTTAATAAGTGTAAATAAATTTTAATTATTAAAAGTAAAAAAAAATAATAATTAAAATTTTATATAAATATAACATGTAAAATTTATATATAAATAAATTCTTATTTTTAAAAATATATTAATATATGAGAAAAGAGTTTATATAATAAATATTTAAAAAATAAAAAATACCTTAAAATTATATTATTTTAATACAATCTTATTGAAATGAATTAAAATCATTTTTTTAATTTTTAGATTGAATATTTTTATTTTTTTTCCCATAATTTTTTATTGCTGATCAACACAATGGCCTAATATATAATGTATCTTTTGATTATTTTTCAATTATTTCTCCCTGTCTTGACCACCCTTAAAAAAAGAAAAAAGAAAAAAACAAAGAAAATCATTTCCCATATCTAAATATTAGTTATAAGAATTGTTTCCTGGTTAACATGTCGCTACTGAGCCTCTTTCTTTTTAATAACGTAATTATAATATGACTAAATATTACAGAGTGAGAGATTAATATAAATGATTAAAGTTAAAGTCAAGATTTAATTGTCATGCCACTTAATCCTTATCATTGAGTTACAATCGTAGTTGGCTTGCCAAGGACGGTTTGCTCTAATTGTGAAGGTAGAGTTGATTGGATTTGGATGTGTAAATTATCACACTTACCCAGGAGCAAAGTACCTGCTAGCTTAAATTGGTTTCTCCATTCCCTTTAATAAAGAATAATAAGTAACATGTTTGTCATTGAGATATCTAATTTTAAATTAATTTGCATCCAAAATTTTGTAAATGAGGAAATTTTTTACTAAGATTATTTGTGATTTGACTTGGTTAATATTTTTTTTTTATTTCTGCTGGAGAGTGGTGTAAGACTTGCAAGTACCAAGACTCGAATGCTGGCCAACTAGAAGGAGAAGAACCTTACTTCTCGATTTCCAGCCAACAGGGTCAGGAGCCCCAGTTGACTTGGTTAATATGAGATAATTAATGAGTGGGATCTATTTAGATATTAAATTTTATACATTATAATTATACAAAATTTTAATTATTTATTTTTAATAATTGAAATTTATTTATATTTATTAAAAATAATTATTTTTTATCTAAAAAATCATGATAAATCTTAAAAATTTAAAATAAAAAAATAAAAAATTAAAATTTTATATAAATATAATACATAAAACTTATATATAATATAATTAATTGTTCAGGCTATAAGCATATTGTATCTCATTAACTTCCAAATAGATGAGTAACCAATTATAACAATTTACCAAATTATATCTTCAATGCGATATGATTTAGTTATATAGGAAAATCTCACATTGACAAAATATTAAAATTTAAAAAGATAAAAAATTTAATAAAAAATTTGTATTTAATTTAAAATTAATTAAAAATAAATAAAAATAATTTTTTTTTATATTTAACTTATATATAATTTTAAAGTTGAACAATGATTGATATACTTTTCAGCTCAACACTTGATTTAATACCTTTCAGTTTAGTTATTAAAAAATTACTATTTTTTAATCTAAAATTAAAAACAGACAAGTATAATGATATAATCATACACATAAGATACAGAAATTGACTTAATTGATTGTATTTATATTATATTTTTAATGATTAAATCAAAAAATATTAAACCAAATATTAAACTGAAGAGTATACTAATCATTTTTTTTAAAGTTTTATCGGTATAAGATTTTTTCCGTTAACACAATATATATATATATATATATATATATATATATCATTTGGTTATCATGTAAAACAAGGGAAAAGAAATATTAGATATGGGTTCTGAATCACAAGCACCCAAGCTTCCTGTTCTAGACTTCACCAAGGGAAATCTCAAGCCTGGCACAGAGTCTTGGTTATCAGCATGCAAAAATGTCAGGAAAGCACTTGAAGAATATGGCTGCTTCATAGTAGAGTATGATAAATTCCCATCAGACCATCGCTCAGCAGTCTTTTCTGCCATGGAAGAATTGTTTGACCTCGCCACAGAAACAAAATGAAGAACAGATATGAGAAGCCCTTAAATGGTTATGTTGGACAAATCCCCAAGCTTCCCCTGCATGAAAGCATGGGCATTGACAATGCCACATCCTTGGAAGGAACTCAATACTTCACAAATCTCATGTGGCCTGAGGGAACAGCCATTTCTGGTATTAGTCAATCAAAACTATGTACTCTTTTAGATTACTTTCAATTCTTATTTTTCTTTTCTACTATCATTAATGTATACCCTAGACTGCACATGTTATTTAATTACCTGGCATATAGTGAGAATATTTACAAGTATGCAAAGGTAGCAGCAGAGATAGATCAGATGGTGAGCAGGATGATCTTCGAGAGCTATGGTGTTGAGAAATACCATGATGCGTATATTGGCTCGACAACTTACCTTCTCCGACTGCTGAAGAACAGGGTGCCCAAAGAGGGGGAGCCCAACCTAGCCTTTGTCACTCGTACAGACAAGAGTTTCGCCAACATACTTCATCAGAACCAGATCGATGGACTAGAAGTGTAGATGAGGGATGGAGATCGGATTAATGTTGCGTTTTCTCCTTCATCATTTGTTGTCATCGCAGGCGATGCACTGATAGTGAACCATCTATCTAACTCATTAAACACTACGTACATTTCTAGGATTGTTTTTTCTTTTTTAATTGGTACAAATACAATTCGTAGTATAGCTAATACTTACTGACTAATGACCATGTCTTATTCTCACAATAAAAATTAATCACTAAATTAAGTTAGACTGTTTAATTGAATTGTTTAACAACTGATAGTGGATATCAGATGTTGTATATGATCCAAACACTATCAGTTGTTATTGAACATTCGGTATAGATTGTTACAAACCATGCAAATAGGAATAGTTATTCATTGCTAGAACAAGGGTTTTATTTGGATGTTTTGTTGGAATAGGCGTGGGGCAATGACAGGGTGTTGTCTCCCAGCCCCCAAGTAATCATGCGAGGGAACGTAGACAGATACTCTCTTGGGTTGTTTGCATTCAATGATGGAATAATTGAGGTTCCAAAAGAGCTTGTAGATGAGGAGCATCCACTGCGGTACTAGCCTTTTGAGCATCTAGGACTGCTGCGCTTCTTCCACACAGATGAGGGTTATAAATCCAAGTGTCCTATGAAAGCATATTGCGGTGTTTGAAGTTTGGATCAGTTCAAAACTTCGGCCAAAGGAACAAACAAATGCCCTTGGGTTCATAAGATAGAATGTAGTGTGTATCTTGATCTGTTGTAAAATAAATTTGTGGTGTGTATCTTTGATATGTTGTTTACAATAAATTGGTCCTTAGAAATAATGCCCATTCTCAGAGTCGTTCAGTAGTGTTTAATTATTGTTATTATTATTTTTATTTTTAACTAAAACCAATATTATATATAATGATTCAACATATTATAATAATATAATATTGATTTTCACAAAAAAATATAACACCAATAAATTATAAATGAATTGAATAGCTCATGAAAATGAATTATGCATTTGATTTATATTTAGTTTAAATTTAATTTCAAACTAATAAACAATGAAGTTTGAACTCCAACATATATGTTGAGCTCCCAAATTAATCATAAATAGTTCAATTAAAATAAAAAATTAATAAAATTATATAATAATTTTATTTAATTTAATTATTTTAAATAATAAATGAATTGAGTAGCTCCCAAATTGCTTAATTCAAATTTCACTAATTTACCAAAGGATCCAAGTTCTAACTCTACTATTTTAAGCTTAATAATAAAGTTTTAAGGTTGACTGGAATTTGAGCTCGTTTAATTCAAGCTCGTATTTGTAGAAACGAACTCAAATTTGAGCATTCTAGACTTTCTTTACCTAGGCCATCTTAACAAGTTTAGGACGCTAAACTCCAAAACGAATCCGAATTTTTGAGTATTCCACTTTGATTATGAGGGCAAGCCTACTCATAGACATCTGCCCGTTTTGAGTTTCTCGATGTTTTTCATAATCTTGAGCCCAAATTTGGGGCCTTTAAGTCCTCACCTCAGTTGAAACCCGTAATCAAGCCTTTTGCATAGGCCTTCTAACTGCGGCTAGGACTCGGGAATGGAATCTGTTTTTGGAGTTTGCCAGAGATTTGTTATTATTATTATTATTGTTGTTGTTGTTTATAAGTAGTATTTTATTTAACTTAAAAATTTTATAAAGGGGAAAATAATTTTTTAGACTGTTCCTTTAAATATTTTTTAAAAACCTATATAAGAGAAAAATATTTACTATAGGTTAAAGAATAAATTCTTCCAAATAGACCCTTATTAATTAACAAAAAAACAATTGCAGTGGGCCAAAATGGCCACACACAAAAAAAAAAGAAAAAGAAAAAGAAAATAATTGCCCAAAAAATTAGAGCCCGATTGTAAACTGCAATGATTCAAATATTTGCAATATAAATGTTTTAGTTATACTATTATATATGATATTATAAATTTACAATATGACGTACTGTTATATAAATGGTTTTTTATTTAGATACTTATTTATAATATTATATACATTCATTCGTTTAATATCATATCATATCCATTTTTTTAAAATCTTGGTTACATGATAGGAGGCAATCATTTTTCATCCCTTATCCTACCTTACTCGCATGTCATGCAATTCGGATTTAGAATCTCTTATTTCCAACGGAAGAAGATGATCAATGAGTTACTTAAGTCGTTGGCACATCATATCCATTTAATATCACATTATAATTATAAATTTATAATCTTATATGATATTATTCCTATAATAACATTGTCAATTGGTTAAAACTCCATTTTGATCTTTGAACTATTGTACAGACTCTCGATTTGATTCTTAAATTAAAAAAATCCCTAATTTGGTCTTTATTGTTTACCAATTTTACCCCAACTTAGTCATTTTGTTAAACAACTACCGTTAACTAACATAAATTTAATGACATGTCAAAAATTTAAGACATGTCAATTTTACAAGTGGATAAATGATGACATGGCAACATGCCATGTCATATTCTTACCCAACACCAAAAAAAGTGGGACCCACCAAAATTACCATTTTGCCATCATCTTCTTCCCCTAGTGTCCTCTTTCTCGAATCTTCTTCATTCAAACAATCACTTTAATTAAACAATTAAACAATCAATTCAAAGGAACCCAACGCTTGGGTTGAATCTAACCCAACAGATGTCCTTTCTTTTTCCTTCCTCCCTCCTTCATCAATCAATTCTTCATCTTCATCAAACAACCAAACCCACAAAAATTTTTTTTTTTAAAAAAATTTTGCCCTAGGTTCGAAGGAACCCAGAGCTTGGGTTTCAAGGAACATGTGCCTGGGTTCGAACGAACCTCGCGCCTGGGTTCGAACGAACCTCGCGCCTGGGTTCGAACGAACCCAGTGCCAGGGTTCCAACGAACCCCACGCCTAATGTTTTTGCCCTCTACTCTTCTAGGGTTCAAATGGGAAGAAAAGGAGAAGATAATGAGCTTGGGTAGGAGGTGGGCTCCACGTTTTTTTTTTTTTTTTGGTTGGGCGGGGATCTGATGTGTTTTTTATGACATGTATCTTTTTATTCATGTGTATAGTTGATGTGTCATAATATTTGGACATGTCATCATACTCCAATTAGTTAATTGAACACGTCGTTGCATTTTTAACAGAAGGACCAAGTTGGGGTAAATTTGGTAAATAGTATGAACCAAATCAAGAATTTTTTTAGTTCAAGGACTATATTGAGGATCTGTACAATAGTTTAGGGACCAAAATGAAATTTTAACCTTGCCAATTTGCAATAATAAGTCGTCAATCTCTAATGTACTTTCAAAATAAAATTTTCCTCTTAAAAAGGCAGTTTATGAATTAATAAGGTCTAGATCATGTGCCATTTTTTAATCCTAGATCAGGACAATTAACTCTCGAAGTATAAATAAATAAATAAAAATTTTGAGGTCCCGATTGCCATCGCTTTATAAAGATCAATAGAGGATTTCTTAATCGGATTTGGTTTTTATAATTTCAACTTAGGAGTTAGGACCACAAGTAAACAATTTGAGTGGGCCAGTAATGATCTCTTTAAATAACTTTAAGGATCGGATCGGATCCCCTTGCAAAAGAAAATGTCAGTTGTGCAAGTTAGGTTTATGATTTTTTAAAATAAGTTTAAGATTTAAAATTTTAGTTTGTACCTAAAAAAATTAATTTTTGGATGAATCAAGTTGATATAACTGTGCGTCTTTAATATTGTTTAGTCTCAAAGTTTGCACAAATTATTCCACTAGAAAAGAAAGTGGGTACAAGTTAACTTTAAAATACCTTACGTGTTAAATAAAAATAAAAAGTCCTGCATGTGAGCTGAATAGGTAGATGGATGTGAAATACAATTATTATTATTATTATTATTATTATTATTATTAATTTTCCAATTCTACTCCCTACATGTTGGACAAAAGTGTCTTTGGCTTGATTAATTTTATGAGTTTATAACTTTTCTTTTTCTTTTAAACAATTGATTATGGTGTTTGAAAATATTAATTTATAAATTTATTTAAATTAATATAAATTATTTTATTAATTATTAATTAATTATTATAGTTATAAATTATTTCTAATAGTTAAAGCAAACAAAGTTTTATTTTTTACTTTGTACCAAGCGAATTGGGGGAAAGGGAAGTAGAAAGGGAACAAGGGGATTTGAACACTGATAGTGTGGATGAAACACCATACAATGGTCATACGAGCCATACACCAGAATTCTAAAGCAAACAAAGTTTAAGAATGAAAGAGAACATATAAGTGATATTGTTAACCTTTAATTTAATTACGTGGTATGGAGAAAATTATTAATAGACCTTAACAATATATATAAAGCTTTGAAAAAAAATTTAATTAAAAATAAAAATATTTCATGTAGTCTAAATTACATTAAATTATAGAAACTAAATAATTTTTTGAAAAATAATTAGTTTATCCTTCAGTTTGACATATCTTTTGACATTTATTTGGTTTAATCATTTTTTTTATAGGAAATGGAGAAATTATATTAAATAATAAAAAAATACAAAAGAATCTCCATAGCAGAGGCATATAGCCTAAAGCATTATAACCTAAAGATAAAATTAAAAGCATAATTTATAGCACTAATAACAGAATTAAACAATGTCTATGACAAATATAAACAATTAAGTAAAGAGAGTCATCTGTAATTAGATATTGCGGTTGCAATCACTGTATGGGTTAAATAGGGCTACCAAAGCAAAAAGGAAAGTCACTATGAGCATCAAAAGTTACTGGACATCTTTACCTATTTAACCAACTTCATGGGGAAAGCAAAGGATTCCGGCAACAAACAATCCCCTACTTGCAGGTTGCCACCCTATTTATTCTTGAAAATTAACCAAGAGGAAGAGGGGTATGGACCCCCGCAGTGCAAGCATGTTTCCCATCTTTTCCAATCCTCTTCAAACCCTGTCTGCTAAAACTGTTGAAGGGAACTAGAGCCCTTTTACCACATTGAATGTTATTTTCCTCGTGCAAATCACAATCAGTTTTAGCAACAATATCCTTTTCCTTTTTGCTAGTCCTCCATATAAACAAAAAGCACCCCAATCATTGCCGAGTGCTCCCAATCGTATTCCCAACATTGCTAATCCTCTGAAAACCCTTGCTAGCGAAGCGCATCAAGGGAACTAGAGCCCTTTGTCGATGTGAATAGCATACTGCTTGTGCAAACCAGAACCGAAGTCACCAACAGCATCCCAATCTTTTTGTATTTGGTTACCAGATCGAAAATTGAAGTGCATTAGGTTCTCCGATGTAGATTGAAAAAAGTCGCTGCCTTATTGGAAATTGGAGTGCACTTGGTTCTCCGAATGCAACCCCCACCAAGATCCCATCCAAAATTGAAGATATGCCGAAGTGAGAGTCTGACCTAGTGAATAAGAGAAATCCAACCACCGATGAGATCAATTCCCTCGTTATTCAATCATAGCCTTCAAAAATCAATAGTAAATGTAGATTGAGAGATGTCGTTGCCTTGTGGTCCCTTGGGCTAAAGTTTCCAAAGCAAAGACAGACGACAAAGAGGAAGGAAAAGATCAAGAGGAGGAAGGTAAGGCTAAGAAGACAGTAGAGAAAGAAGAAACTCCTCACCGAAGAGCAACCCTAAGGAGAAACCCGTCGTCGCCACCCTCAACCCTAAGCAGAGCATGGGAGAATAAATTTTTTTTTTTTATTTTTGAGTTTTTAATCTTTTTATTTGGTTTAATCATTAAAATATAATATAAGTACAACCGATTTTATTAGTTCTTACATTCTATATATGTGATTATATTTTTAAATTTATCTATTTTTAATTTTAGACTAAAAAATAATAATTTTTTAATAATTATGTTATACAAGGTATTAAACTGAAAAATATATCAATATTATCCTAATATTTTTTAAAAAAAAATGGTCTTCTAAATGTATGGGCTTCCTCTGATCCAATGGTCCTCCCTAATCGTACCTAATTGGAATTTTAATGGTCCTGCTTCAAATATATGAGAATTATGGAGCAAATAGAAACAAAGGCATGCTTATAATGAACGGCTCCGAAGAATCTTAGATCCGCTTGCCCTGGAATTTTGTCATTGTACCATCTCAATAGAAGGATTGTAGATTTCACCATCAACACCAAACACCTGATCACATCATTTTGTTGGTAATTCACACGATCAAGTCCAAAAATATATATGATTATATAAGGGTAAATATATGTGTAGAGACTTATAAACTTAACAAATTAAATTTTTGAGTTAATATAAATTTTAAAATATATGCGTTGAACCTTATTTGTAGGCTCTTATTGATTTGATCTTTAAAACAAGCCTGGGTTTCCCCCTTTTTTAATTCGAATTGCCTATGGTGAAGATGACCATTATTGCATCAGAGGAATTCCATACGTTTAGAAGACCATTTAAAAAAAAATAGTTAGTTTTGTATAATTTGATGCAATTTAAAATGTATACAATATTTTTATTTTTTTATTAAATCTTGTTTTAAACCTTTATATATATATATATATATATATATTTTTAAGCTATATTTATAATTTGCTCCATTTTACCCATGTAATTAACTTAAAGGTTCACATTATCTAATAATACATTATCTTTTGTATTTAGATTTTGTTTGGTTTAACTATTATGAATAATTACTAACTATAATAGTTAATCTATAACTGATAAAACAGTTAATATTAATTTAAATAAATTCATAAATTGATATTTTTAAGTATTTTAATCAATTACTTAAAGAAAAAAAAGTTATAACTGATAAAATTAATCAGACTGATGACACTTTTATCCAACAAGTAGGAAGTAAAATTGGAAAATTAATCATAATGGTAATTGTATTTCACATCTATCTGCCCACTCCACTCACATGCAAAAAGGACCTCGTATTTTTATTTAACACGTAAGGTATTTTAGAGTTAATTAGTTTGTGCAACTTTTTTTTTTTTAATGGTGAAATATCTTATGCAATCTCTAAGCCTAAACAATTTTAAGGGTGTACACTTATATAACTTGATTCATTTAAAAAAGTAAATTTCTTTAAATACAAACCAAAATTTTAAATCTTAAACTTTTAAAAAAAAAAACCATAAACCCAACTTATACAACCATATTTTTTTGCAAGGGGAACCAATCCGATCTCTAAAGTTATTTAAAGAGATCATTACTGACCCACTCAAGTTGTTAACTTGTGGTCCTGACTCCTAAGTTGAAATTATGAAACCAAATCCGATTAAGAAATTCTCTATTGACCTTTCTTAAAGCGATGACAGTCAGGGACCTCAACGTTTTTATCTATTTATTTATACTTCAAGAGTCAAGTGTCCTAATCTAGAATTAAAAAAATGTCAAATGATTTTGTTCTCTGGATATATTATGTCCTTTAATTTATAACCGTAAAAGAAAGACTCAACTAACGGGAGCTCACAAATAAGTTTCAAATGAATTATTCATTAATCAATTAATCTCCCACCAATCATATCCAACTAAAAAATAATTAATGGATAAGGACCCGATAATGGTCCTGCTTCAAACATATGAGAATTATGGAGCAAATAGAAACAAAGGGATACTTATAATTAACAGCTCCGAAGAATCTTCGATCTGCTCGCCATGGACTTTTGTCAGTTGTACCATCTCAATAGAAGGTTTGTAGATTTCACCATCAATACCAATCACATGATCACATCATGCATCTTGTTGGATTCACATGATCAACTCCAAAAAGATGTATGATTATAAAAGG